TTATGCTTTCTCTGTCAAATGAATAAATAAAATCTTTAAAAAAAAAAAAAAAAAAGGAAAGCTCTTTGAAAACAAAAAAACAGATTAGGAATTACATGAATGCTAAATGTGTGTGGGGATAAAAGATAAAGCAGGAAAAACATATTTTGATGAAGAAATATTTCATTTTATCATATATTTAGCAGTATGATTCATTCAACTACTATGTGTATACTAACTTTCCAATTTAGTCAAGTAGCCTTCTTTAATTTAAAAATAAAAGATGAGACATCTTCCTGAATCATAAACCAGTAACTTAAACTGCTTCAGGTAATCAGAGAATGTGAAGCTAAAAGTCAAAATAATTTAGTTTACATATGATGGGGATACTTTGGAAAAGGCATTTTATATCTATAAGCCTATGTTTCTACACACTTCAAAACAAACTGCCTGATATTCAAACTATACACAGTAATAAACTTAAGTACAAAGTAGGGAAAGGTAAACTATATGTACATGCTAATTTAATTTCTTTCTCCAAATAAAACAAGTACTAATACCAGAGTATGTAGAGAAACTGGAAGATACCTGAACAGTTTATTAGTACTCATTCTTATGGTCAAGAAATATTTACTGAAGACAGATATGACAAGTACTTCTAAATACTGAGGATACTGCAATTAACAAAACAAAGTGCCTATTACCATGGAGCTTTCATTCTACTCTATAGAGAATTTTAGGGTTAACCTCTAGAAGGAATTCAGCTCTGAAAAATTTCTCAGGAATATTCAAAACTAGTTAAAAGTTCAGCTCTGTACTAAAATATCACCCTCCCCCATTCTATTTACTCAACCCTGAAAAAGTATTTTTGACTAGCTTTTAATTACAAGGGATTGGCCAAACTGTATTTAGTATATAAGTTTCCTCCAATCTATTATTAAACTCTATAAGGAAACTAATCACTAAAACTGTTTCTAGTTCATTTAAAGGAAGAATGAAAATGTATAGAAATACAGCATTTCTCATAGGTCCTCTCTAGTCTGCCTAATTCAATTAAAATAATTCTAATCCTAGGTGGCTAGTAGAGAATAGGAAGGTTTTTCTACTTAGTACATAAAAGAATCTAGGTGCTTCTCACATAGAACACTTTTCAACTTTTTTTTTTTTTTTAACTTCTTGAGGACTCAAATGTTCGTAACAGAACTAAAAGACACATTACTTAACTTTTCTGTGTTTCATTGTCTCTACCTGTTAAAATGATAACAACAGTACCTGTCTCTCTTAACACTGTTTTTGGATTAAATGAGATTAAGGCATAAAAAGGTCTTAGTGCTCAATCAGAACTGATGACCTCAATCATCATTATCCTGTGCAGTGGGTTCTTAATAACAGCTTACATTTATCATTATCATCTTCCCAAAATCACAGTGAGGAGAAATAATAAGCTACAATAAAGCTATTAAGAGATTTCTTTATATTTTGGCAAGATGATTAACATACATATGTTCCTCAAACTGAGCAAAAGATCAATATCTGTAAGTATCAGTAACACTAATGTTACTAATATCCAGAATTCCTGAAAATGGCTGAATTTGGGAAATTTTCAGGAATCAAATAAAAGCTTCACCAATAATATGTTTTTTTTAAGATTTTATTTATTTGACAGAGAGAGACACAGCGAGAGAGGGAACACAAGCAGGGAGAGTGGGAGAGGGAGAAGCAGGCTTCCCGCCGAGCAGGGAGCCCGATGTGGGACTCGATCCCAGGACTCTGGGATCATGACCTGAGCCGAAGGCAGACGCTTAACGTCTGAGCCATCCAGGCGCCCCACCAACAATATGTTTGATCAATATTTTAGTTGTTACTCCAAAGACTCAGAAGTGTTTATTTTTAAAAATATGTTTATGCCTTTTATTTCCATGTAAAGTTAACAGTAGAATTATCTAAACAAACCAAGGAGTTATCATCACTTAAAGATACTGCTATTACCTTCTGGCCTTATCCTAGTTGGATCATACTGGGAAACATCTAAAATGATTTTATTCAAAGAAAATTTAAAAATAAGGAACAAAACAAAACCAAGTAAATGAGTAGAAAAATCTTTACATTTAATTAAATCTGGAGAATCACGTTGGACTACAAATAAAGGAATTAACAAAGGTAAGACCCCGAAGTAAAGCAAAAAACACTAGTAAGAATCTTTCATTTAAAAACCCTGCAACCCTTCAAAGATCTTGAAGAAAACCAAGATTATCCCCAAATGGAGAGGTCACTAAATATCCATGAACACTCACCCAACCTTTGGTAGGAGACCTCTTGAAGACCCAGATGCTTGAATCAGCTGAAATAGTACCAAGTGTTTTCTGATTACTCTTAATAGGGCAATGGAGCACAGGTTACTCCATACTATCAAAAATTACAGGTCATTATTATTGATAATTCTAGCTACTACCATTACAAATCACTCAAGGAAAAGGAGACTGAGTAATGAGTTCTAAGGTGAGTGAAACTTATTGTGCGCATGTATAAATGTGGATGTTTCTTCCAGTTCTCTTAGTGATAGAAGTCTGATAACATAATTCTTCTTATAAGTGTAAATACACTGGCAGAACAAAATTTTCTAAATTAATGTTATAAAGTTCTTAAAGAAAGCATGTAAAATATTTTTAATATTGGTTCAGATAAAAAATTTCTAGGGATGCCTAGGTGGTTCAGTTGGTTAAGCATCCGACTCTTGACTTTGTCTCAGGTCATGATCTCAGGGTCATGAGATTGAGCCCCACAACAGGCTCTGTGCTGAATGTGACGTCCGTTTAAGATTCTCTCTTTTCCTCTCCCTCTGCCCTTCCCCCCACTTGCATTCTCTTTCTCTCTCTCTCAAATAAGTCTATCTTTTAAAAAAAATTCTAAAAAAAGAACTTGTTTTTTCAAGACAAATGCCAATTTCTCAACATTAAGCACTTCAGTAACACACAGGAAAAGATTTTCAGTCTCCTACACTTAAAAAAAATAAAGTTCTTAACATTAGGGTTTTTTTTGTTTTTTGTTTTTAAGATTTATTTGAGAGACAGAAAGAGAGAGAGAACACACAATGCATGGGGGGAGGGGCAGAGAGAGAGAGAGAATCTCAAGCCAACTCCCTACTGAGCGCGGAGCCTGACAAGGGGTTCTGTCTCATAACCCTGAGATCATGACCTGAGCTGAACTCAAGAGTCAGACACTTACTGACTGAGCCACCCAGGTACCCCTTAACTTTAGTTTTTTAATGTAATGATTCTTCTAATCACAGGATTCTTATATTTCAACATATAAAAGAACTCATAACACTGAGGACTAAACAAAAGCCTCCTTGCTCAAAGATGATGACTATTTTCAACATTATTGGTTAAAATCTGGAAGTTATCAATTTAATAGAAAAATATCCGATATTAACCTAATTTCAAAGAGGAGTAAAGCAGAGTCAACACCTAGATGAAATACAGTAATGTTTTTCTTGATCTCTGGAAAGTGGGAGGCAGAATGATAACTCCTCCCAACCTGCATTCCCCTTATACCATGACTCACTCCAAGGGCCTATGTGGTAAAAATTAAGACACTCTACTACTGCAGAAATTGCCAAGAATAAAAAATGGAAGGTTCTATATTTCTAAATTTTTCTCAAGTAACTAAGATATAAAAAACTACTTCTCGGGCGCCTGGGTGGCTCAGTTGGTTAAGCGACTGCCTTCGGCTCAGGTCATGATCCTGGAGTCCCAGGATCGAGTCCCGCATCAGGCTCCCTGCTCAGCGGGGAGTCTGCTTCTCCCTCTGACCCTCCCCCCTCTCATGCTCTCTATCTCATTCTCTCTCTCAAATAAATAAATAAAATCTTTAAAAAAAAAAAAAATTTAAAAAAAAACAAAAACAAAAAAACTACTTCTCTCTGATACATGTGTATCAAGTTAAGGGAACAAGTGAAACAAGCCTCATTTGGTTTAAATAGTTTAGACAGACAGGAAGCAAAAAAGAACATTTGACATTTAATGTTAAGTAAGCATACTCAAGCTACCAAAGAAACACTGAAACCCCAAGCCAGCAAATATACTCTAACCTGGCTGATAAATGATTTAACTGTTACATTTCTAAAGACAGCTTTGTAGTATATCTATCACTTACTCAACATGAAAGAACTTTTGAAGTCTTGAGAACAGCAACAAAATAAGGAAGACCAGAAGCATAAAAAAAAAATTTCCTGTCTGCCTATAGTAGATGAGGAAAATGTCTGATAAAGTCAGGGAGAGATCTGAGAAAAGAGGGGTGAAAAGGAATGGCCAATAGAAGACTAGCACTACAATAACTGAGAATCCTAATGTCCCTAAAAATACGAAGAAAAACTAAAGATAAAAAAAAAATAATAAAAAATGGAATTAAGACTGGCATAAATAAAAAACTTGTGTGTGAGAAAAATACAAACATTCTAGATCTCTACTGCTAATTTTGAATGACAAGGTATACCAATATTACCTTTCTTTCGAAAGAGTGCATTTAGGTAATTTTCTGCTTGGCATTCAATCTTTTCAGTGTTGGACTGGCCCTGAGATGATAGTTCCTCCGTTGGTGTTGACTGTGAAGAATCAAGAGATGGTATACAATCCTAAAATTATAAGAAAGCAACATAAAAAAATCAGTTTTAATTATACATGCAATTTCATTAAAAATAGCAAAAAAAAAATTCTCTAAATGCTCATTTGTTCTATTTAACAAATTATATAGAGAGAACATAAAATTTGGGACAGGAGTGAGGAGAAAAGAAATTTAGCTCTGATACCAAATTAGCTTTATTTCTTAGCAAACTATAGCCAAAAAAGGGGGGGAGGAAGTGTGGATAAAATGCATTGCTGAATAAATTCACTATATAGCATGCCAGTAATGAGAGTTTTAACAACAAAATAGGTATGTTTACCCACTAATCTGACCAAAATGGGTACAGGTTCTCAAGTTCTCATTTCTTCCCAGCTTTCTCACAATAGTAAAGAATTAGGACTTCCCGCCATACAAGAAGATGCTGCTTGTCTAGTTTATGCCGTTTATAGTAGACACTATTTAATCATTTACCAGGAAATAATTCTGATATCCAAAAGACTTCAAGAGAGTAAAAGGCTAAAAAGTAGTACCACATTATCCTCCAACTATAGATTCCTAAGAAATCAGACTATAGGGTGGTCTCAAACCAAGCTAGGCCTCCAAGCTCACCACTGTCTACCTAAATACAAAACAGATCTAAACTGAACTTCAAAGTCAGGGAGCTATAAGGAAGAAATGTGAAATAAGCAAAAAAGATGAGTGTTTTGTGATTTCACCTGCAAGTTAAGCTAAATGTTAGACTTCTAACATAAGACTTTAAAATATTCTTCTCATTACCAAAATCAAGTATTTAAATTTCCACTGTAAGTCATCAGTTTTCAGAACAAATTAAGTTAAAAAAATTGTTACAATTGTGCGATTAGTTTAGAAATAATTTCGTAGCACTAAAACTTACACTGACTGCTTCTCTCTGTAGGTTACAAAATGAACATTTTTCATCCATAGACCAGTCAGTCAGCTCTTCTGGTTCACAGTCTTTAAAAGAGGGAAAAATATTCATTAAATACACTAACTTTAGTCAAACAAATAAAATTACCACTCTCCACAGCAATGGCTCATATAAAAAAAACTAACTACTAATAGTAAGGGGAGAAGGCCTAACTTTAAAATTAAAGTGATGACATCTAGAAAGAAATAAACAGAGAAGGCTGTAAGGAGAGTAATTTTGCACTATTATGGGACAAAGTAGCAAGAACAATGAGCTGGTTATAAATTTATTTTCTAACAATAGGGTTTTAAGTATCATCTAACCTAAAAGATTCAATTTATCATTAATTTTTAATTTTCACTATGAAAGAAATCAAAACAAGGAGGTATGGGGAAAAATAAATTTTACACATCATGAAAGCAACATAAAACAGAGAAATGGAGTAGAGCACCAGAAAAGCCCACAGATTTGAGAAAATGAAATGCTGTTCCAAAAAAAAAAAAAAAAAGTAGAAATCCATAGCTAAGAAGTCCAATCAGATTTTTATTGTATTGTTTAAAGGTGTTGTTGTAAGAGTTCGAGTAAAAGGCAGGTAAATAAGCCTTTATTCAACACAAAACATGAATTCTTTTCCACAAGAATGTTTCATATAATCCAACTATAGTAATGTATTAGAAAGTTTGTGCAAAACAAACATTTTATGATGAAGAAATTTTATGACAATATAACAACACTGCCAACCTAACTATACTTGGTACAGACAGTGATTTTTCAAACTTACTCCTTGCAGTAAAACTCCCCTTAATTTCCTTTCCCAAATAAATTCCTATATAGAATCTCTAATATATGAAACAATTATCATCTGAGGCAGTTACACAGGTACTAATTTGAAAAGCACCGGTATACCACAGTTATTTTCTTTCATACTTTTGAAATAAGTAAGCTGAATACATGTTTATGTTAAACTACACAGAAAATAAGCTTACCTTTTTTGGAATGGTAATAAATAAGTACCAGTTAGGATCAGCCCCCAAGAAATTCTTGCATCAATTGAGATATACAAGTCAGAATAGAAGATAATGTAATCTGTTGGAGTATAAAAGTGTAGTGACAGCTCCCTTTGGCTTTGGCAATGGTCTAGAAATAGTCCTAATATTTATCCAAACTTAGAAATGGTAGGAAATGGGAGCATGAGACCCAGCATAGGGTAATGGAAACATAATTGGATTTAAAGTCTCCATCTGGAGTAGAATCTACTCGTTGTAACCTTGTCAAGTTACAAAGTTTTTGTTTTAATTTCTATATCTATAAAATAAAGATCCCATCACCTAACTTACTGTGGATCAAATGAAAAAAGTGAGAAAATATTTTATAAACTATAAAACACCATGCAAAGGCTAGTTACTAAAAAAGCAGGATCATCAGTCATTATTTTTTAAATCCTGCACAATCACAAATGTATTTAAAACGGTTAATTTGCAGAAGACAGATAATTTTAATATACCAGTTTAAGAAAACTAATCACGTTTTTGCAAATGACCTGATAAATCAAAAAGTTTAAGCAATGTAAACAATTAAAAACCCAGAACTGTAGTTATGCAGGTTTATAATTTTCTTCAACCCTTTGGCCTGTCACTATAGTTAGAATAATACATTCACACTCTTGAACGTGGAATTGTGCAATGTCTCTTACTAGGAAGGCAGAGCTTTCTGATTAGTAGAATGAATGTGGGAAAAGTGACGTATATATTCCAAGCTGAGGCTTTAAAAGGTATGGCAAGTTGCCCCAGTTCTCTTGAGTTTCAACCATCCAACATGAAAAGAATTTGCCCCACACAGCTATTACTCCTTCAGACTGGGACCTGCAGTCATCAGAAGTGATCCCTGAGGTCCAGTGAATCAGATCACCCATAAGGATGCAACAGATTTTAGAGCTATTTGTTAGGCAGTATTACTTTGCAAAAACTTGACTCATATGCTAAGCATAACAATTTTGGTAGATCAAGGAAATCTTACTGCTTTTTTTTTATTATGGCTTCATGAATAAAAGATATGAAAGGAATCTAGCATTAGAATTTTTTAAAAATAGCTGGTAGTCCTGGAAAAGAGGTATTTTTGAAAAATCACTGTAAGGTTTCATGAAGTTTTAGTGATAAATATGTTGAATCAAGGAACAACAACTTTGGAATAATTAAAACAATTACCAGTTGTAAGATAAAATTGGGCATGCTGAGATTATCCCATTTATTTTCGTTATTTTAGAAGTTCTTCAAGGAAACGTTAATTAAAATAAATGCCTATATGGTTAAATAAATGGCAATGAATAATCAACAATTATATAAATGCCATTAAATTTTGCTGGGTAAAAAAATCTACAACTTTACTTACCAATATTTAATAACTATTCTTTCTACAGAACTTTTGATTTTGAGTCCAAATAAATGATGCTGAGATACATCATTTTATTTATTGGAAAACAAATTTTGAAAAATCAACTCTAGGCCAGATTTCTCTGTCCAGGTTATCTTTTCATGTCATAAAAGTTAAGTAAATACTACAGACTTATTTTATTTCTCAAACAAAATATGATAATAAATCAAATATCCCTAAAATACATTGTCTTTCATTTTGCAATTTTAATACATGAAGTTGTATAAGCTCAAAAGGATCAAATTATGTACCTTACAGAAATAGTCTTATTAATGAAAGGCAATGTCATAATGAAAACTAATAGTAGGGTGTCTTGGTGGTTCAGTCTGTTAAGTGCCTTCAGCTCAGGTCATGAGACCAGAGTCCTGGGATTGAGCCCCGCATCAGGCTCCCTGGTCAGCGGGAAGCCTGCTTCTCCCTCTCTCCCTCCGCCTGCCACTCCCCTTGCTTATGCTTTCTCTGTCAAATGAATAAATAAAATCTTAAAAAAAAGGGGGCGGGGAAGAAAAGAAAGGAAAACTAATAGTAAATGACTAACAAAAGATCAACCTTTTAACCATGGATATATATTTGTGGTCAAAGTCTGGTTCCAATCATTTTACCTAATCTGTCTTGGAAAGATAAGAGACTTTGAAATTAAAAAGCCTTGGTACTGAGATATCTTTCCAAATACTAGATGCGGCCTTTGGCAAGTTACTTTCTCTGGGCTTCAATTTCCTCATCTGTTAAAATGAGGATAATGATTGCATCTTAAGGCTGTAGTAAAAATTAAATAAGAACATATGCAGAACACCTAACGAGTTCAATAGGTGTAACTTTCATTTTCTTTTAGATAATTGTACTTCTTTTGAACATTTTTATTCTCTTTTGTACACTTTCACCCTAAGAAATAAATTTAAAGTTCCCAAAGACAAAGCCCAATGAAAAGTGAAAAAAGAGAATACTGAACTAGATTTCTCATGAAGGTCATGAAAAAGTGGTTATAACTATTTTGATTTTGAGGAAAGATACTGAACAGTGGGCAATATTACTGAAAAATAATTTTTCATCTAAAACTACGTATTAACTACACTGAAAACTACAAAGGAGAAAAAAAAAACTATTTGTAATCCCATCATCCAGAGATAATGATTAACATTTTGCAATATATCCTTCTAGTTTATATTCTATGCCTTTTTAAAAATTAGCATTAGCTGATTCTTTGAAAATATCAATAAAATCGATAAACCTTTACCCAGCCTAACCAAGTAAAAAAAGAAAAAATATCAGATATTAAAGATGGGCCATCACTGTTGATTCTATGAATAATAAAAAAATAATAAAAATATTATAATATTAGTTGCCCACAAATTTGGTAACTTCAGATGAAATGGACAAATTCCTTGAAAGACACTATCTACCAAATCTCACATAAGAAATAATAAATCATCTCAATAGGACGATATCTATTAAAAAAATTAAATCAGGGACGCCTGGGTGGCTTAGTTGGTTAAGCATCTGCCTTCGGCTCAGATCATGATCCCAGGGTCCTGGGATCAAGTCCTGCATTGGGCTCCTTGCTCAGCAGGGAGCCTGCTTCTCCCACTGCCTGAGGTTCCCCCTACTTGTGTGCACTCTCTCTCTCTTTCTCTCTCTGACAAATAAAATCTTTTAAAAAATTAAATCAGCAATTAATAACCTTCTAAAACAGAAAGCTCCAACCCAGATGGTTTCTCTATAATCTGTTCCAGAAAACAAAAGCAGAAGTATTTCCTCATTCTATCATTATTACTATCGATCATCATTATCCAAGTACCAAAAACGGACTGAACACCTCACCCAAGAAGATATGCAGATAGCAAATAAGCTTATGACAAGATGCTCAATAGCATATCCCATTAGAGAACTGAAAATTAAGATGAGCTACCACTACACACCTACTAGAATGGCTTAAGTCTGAAACACGGACAACGTCATATGCTGGTGTGGATGCAGATCAAAAGGAACTTCAATTCATTGCTGGTGAGAACACAAAATGGTATGGCCAATTTTGAAGACAGTCTTACAGTTTCTTCAAAGCTTAACAGAATCTTGCCATACTATCTAGCAATGGTGCTCCTAGGTATTTAGGCAAATGAGTTGAAAAGTTGTATCTATACAAAACCTTGCACACAAATGTTTAAAGCAGATTTATTAATAGTTACCAAAACTTGGAAGCAACCCAGATGCCTTTCAAGCAGATCAATGGATAAGCAAACTATGCTACATCCACCCAGTGCAGTATTATTCAGTAATAAAAAGAAATGAGCTATGATGCCATGAAAAGACAGAGAGGAAACTTACATGCATATTATTCAGTCAAAGAAGTGAGTCTGAAAAAACTAAATAATGTATGATTTCAACTATATGACATTATGAAGAAGAAAAAACAAGAGAGACAGTAAAAAGAGCAGTGTTTGACATGGGTTGGAGACAGGGGAAATAACTAGTGGTAGCGATATTTTTCTAGGTATATCTCCTAGGGCAAAGGAAACAAAAGCAAAAATAAACTATTGGGACTACATCAAAATAAAAAGCTTCTGCAGAGCAAAGGAAACCATCAACAAAGCAGAAAGGCAACATACTGATTTTTAGGGCA